GCACGTGCTGCTGGTGGACGGCTTCTCCCAGCCCTACCTGCCGCTCCCGGAGGCGGCGGCGGAGCAGGCCCAGGCCGACTCGCTCACCGTCTACTTGGTCATCGCCTTGGCCTCGGTGTCGTCGCTCTTCCTGTTCTCGGTGGTGCTGTTCGTGGCGGTGAGGCTATGCAGGAGGCACAGGGCGGCGTCTGCGGGTCTCTGCTCGGTGCCTGAGGGCCACTTTCCAGGCAACCTGGTGGATGTCAGTGGCACTGGGACTCTGTCCCAGAGTTACCAGTATGAGGTGTGTCTGACAGGAGGCTCTGAGATCAGCCAGTTGAAGGCTCTTAAACCTATATTCCCCAACTTCTTGGTTGAAGAGGCTGGTAGAAACATGTAAGGAACTCCAACGGCAGGAATCGTTAGGAGTTTGATTAGGAATCTAACTGAGATTACAGTAGTAAATCATGGAATTCACTAATCTATCACAGAGAGCTGCATATTCATGCATTAGTAATTGTCATCTTTATAGCTATTTCAACCTCAACTATTTTGTATTCTATTTCTTGTTGTTATTGGTAGTCATTTCATATATTCCATGTGCATATAAGAGCAGAGAAATGATGTTTCTTAGGAGTGTTATTTGGTCAGTTTTTTGGAAGCCACAGGTATTTTCAGGTTCTCAACTTTTGAACTTGTTCATTGATGTCCTGTTATGATTAAGAGAATTCTGTTCTAAACCTTATGGCTATTATCAGCATGAATCTAACTCTATTGTAAATTATGGCTTTCAGTTTTAAAAAATAATTTTAAATTATGAAAACTTTTAGTAATCTTATATATTGTTGGATTTTCTGTTGTGTTGTTTCAAAAATGCTATTGTTTCCTCAAATGAACCAGTATTTTATCTAGATGATGTTTTCTCAATTGAGTGCTTTCTTCAAAATCAATACCATTTAATTAGAACATCTCCTATTATTCTAAAGGATTCAATTTCTGTTACATGAAAGGACAGAAAAAAGTTGATAGACTTGTGATTACTTTTTCATAATAAATTGTTTTCTTATGGATACTATTCTTATTCTTTAAGATAATAGTCTCAAAATTCAAACATATGCTAAGGACAAAAGGGAAAGCAAATTAACATCATTATTACACCATCCAGAAATAATTTCATTAAGTCAACGTCATTATAAATTATTTCTAAGAATGCACATAAGAATAAATAGATGGAAACAGTTTTATAAAATTGATCTATAATAAATGAATAGCTTCAAATTAAAACCATCAGCTTGAATGTAATAACACAGAAATGAAACTATAGAACTTGTATCTGCTTAGATAAAGAATCCTATGAGGTGAAAAAACAAGATTATGATGCATATTAAGATACTAGCATTACTTAACTGCCTGCTTAACTATAACCCAATAAACATTCCTACACCCCCTCCCATCTTTCCTTTCCTCACCTTACTTATACTTTTTGTGTTTTATAACATTACCCTTAATGTATTTTGAATGAATTCTTCCCATAATTATTTAGATATTTTATATTTTTTAAATTTTAATTTGAAGTTATATAGTGCTCTTTTTTCAATTTAAGTCAAGTGAGAATGGCCAGAGGTAACCACTTTTGATCCATTTAACAGTTTTTTCCCCATAGTTACTTCCATATTTCTGAATCACAAAGTTATAAAGTGTTATCAAATTTGAGTTGTAGATATTATCCTTCAGAGTCTCTCTCACACCACATACACACTTGCACATTTCCTCTTAATTCGCAGTATCAAAATTCTGTTTGTTTATATCATTATCGCCATGTAAATATGACTCTGGCTTGAGCCTAATGAGTTAAAATAAAAAGCCTCTTTTCTTTACCCTAAGGTAATGGCCTTCTTTTCCTATGTACCTATTTTAAATAGTCTTATGTGCTTTCTAAAGCTCCTAATTTTGTATTTAAACTTGTAAAATTATCTATCAGATCCATTCCTTTCTTTTGGAGCCATCCTGGAGCTATTCAGACTCCTGCCCAACTGCACACTATTCTATAGGCCTACGTACAGCATTGCACAGCGGGCAGTTTGCTTTACCCATTAACCTGAGAATATATTATCTCTCTCCTCCATTGGGTTTTATATGTTTCACATTTTCTCTTTTGTTTGGTTTACTCCCTTGAGTTCTTGAAGAAGATTTAGTAATAAATTTATTGAGAGCTTGAATATCTGAAATTTTCAGATGTGAAAAAAATCAAATGTGTATTTTTAAAGACCTTGTTACGTGTAGAATTATATTAGGAATTATTTGTCACTGGTACTTTAGGGCATTCCTCCATTGCCATCTAATCTCCAAGGTTGTGATGTTCATACATTCTGATTTCCAGTTCTTTTCTGAGAACCTTTGTTTGTTTTCCCTCTAGATTGTTTTCAACCTGGGGAAATTTTGCCTCTAGCAATATTTTTTTTCTTTTTCTTTCTTTCTTTTTTTTTTTTTTTTTTCAGTTTTTGGCCCGGGCTGGGTTTGAACCTACCACCTCAAGTATATGGCTCCAGCACCTTACTCCTTTGAGCCACAGGCACTGCCCCCAGCCTCTAGCAACATTTTGCAATTTCTGGAAACATGTTTGATTGTCACAGCTGTCAATAGCCCTAAGGCTAAGAAAACTTTAGATAAGTTAAGGCTCTTATATTTATCTCTGGTGTTATAAAATAATATAGTATAACAATTTTGTCATTTATTGTGCTAGTTACTCAGTGAGACTTGTCAATCTTGAGACATTCCTTAAACTAGGACAGAGTTGAGATGTTTAATTAAAAAAAAATTTCCTTCAATTTTTTTTATTCTATAGTTCCTATATATTTAGTTGTATAGTGACCTCCTGGATTGATATTTCATTTTTCTTATCCTTTTCCTATTCACTATCCTCTACCTTTATTTTCCTGGACTCTAGTAGATTTTCTCAACTATTTTTTATCTTCATGGCTGAATTTTAAACTTTTGATTTCAAAGTTTTATTTTCAAAAATCTCTTTCTGTTCTCTGAAAGTTTATACAGCAGCCTTTTAGTTTTGAGTTTTTTGGTGAGTGTAATTCACATGCCATAATATTCATTGTTTCAAAAATTGAGTTCAGTGGTAGTATATTCAAAAGGCTGTACAATTATTACCACTAATTCCAGAACATTTTCACATGTTCATCACCCCAAAAAGAATCCTGGTATCCATCAGGCAGTCATTACCCATTTCCTCCTCCCTTAGGCCTTGAGCAACCACTAAACCACTAATCACTTTTCTGTTTCTTTGGATTTCCCTGTTCTAGACATTTCATATAAATGGAATCATACCATATGTAGCCTTTTGTGTTTTCCTTATTTCACTTAGCATAATGTTTTCAAAGTTCATTCATGTTATATAGCCTGTATTAGTACTTTATCCCTTTCTATTACTGAATAATGTTCGGTAATGTTCTGTATAAATGTACCACATTTTGTTTGTCCATTCATTTGAAGAGCATTTGGATTTGTTTCTACTTTTTGGTCATTATGACTGTTGCTAGGAACACTCATGAACAAGTTTTTGTGTGAACACATGTTTTCTATCCCTTGGGTTATATACCTTTGATTAGAATTGCTGGGTCATATAGTAACTCTGTACAATGTTTTGAGGAACTGTCGATTTGTTTCCAAAGTGACTTCCCTCTCAACAGGATATGGGAGTTTCTATTTCTTTACATCTTCGCCAACACTTGTTATTTTCTTTTTGGTTACACCCATCCTAGAAAGTGTGAGTTGTATCTTATTGTGGCTTGATTTGCATTTTCCAAATGACTAATGATATTCAGTATCTTTTCTATCTTTTCATATACTTAGTGGCTATTTGTCTATCTTTGGAGAAATGTCTACTCAAATTCTTTGCCTTTTTTTGTTTTGTTTTGTTTTGTTTTTGAGACCAAGTCTCACTTTGTCACCCTAGGTAGAGTGGCATAGTGTCACAGCTCACAACAACCTCAAAATCTTGGGCTTAAGTGATTCTCTTGCCTCAGCCTAACAAGTAGCTGAGATTATAGGTGCCCGCCACAACACCCAGCTATTTCTAGAGATGAGGTCTCACTCTGGCTCTGGCACAGGTTAGTCTTGAACCTGTGAGCTTAGGCAATCCATCCACCTGGGCCTCCCAGAGTACTAGGATTATAGTCGTGAGCAACCACACCCAGCCCTTTGCCTAGTTTCTTAATTGACATTTTATCTTTTTATTGTTGAATTGTAGTAGTTCTTTATATGTTTTTTATACTAGATCTTTATCAGATACATGGTTTACAAATATTTTCTCCTATATTTGCATTTTCACCTTATTGATAATGTCCTTTGAAATACTACAGTTACTATTTTTTTGATGAAGGCTGATTTATCTATATTTTTCTTTTCTAAAAGGCTGCTTAGACTTTGTATGTTTGGGCGGGACAAGTTGAGTGGTAGCCTTCACTTCAGAGTAATGAAAGAGTAAACATTTCATTTGGGAACCAAAAGTCAGTATCTATTAGTCTTTTCTTTTCAGCCCACATCATTCTTCAGAAAGGAATTTAGGGTGGGGCACAGTGGCTCACACCTGTTATCCCTGCACTCTGGGAGGCCAAGGCGGGTGGATTGACTGAGCTCACAGGTTCAAGACCAGCCTGAGCCAGAGTGAAACCTCATCTCTAAAAAATAGCTGGGCATTGTGGTGAGTGCCTGTAGTCCCAGCTACTCTGGAGGCTGAGGCAAGAGAATTTCTTAAGCCCAAGAGTTTGAGGTTACTGTGAGCTATGGCACCACAGCACTCTACCTAAGGTCACAAAGTGAAACTCTGTCTCAAAAAAGAAAGAAAAAAAAAACAAGAAAAGAATTCATTAAGGGGGCTATTGAGTGGGCTAGAAGTTAATCCTTACCCCTGTGAGAGCTCCTTGGTTTGGGAGAAGAGGTCCTGGTTGATACGTATAATCTTTTAACCCTCTTCTCTCTAAGGTTTCAGTCTTGCCCTTAGTTGTGCTGGTGTCCCTCAATCCAGGGCCCTTCCTATTAAACCTCTCCCGTTTTCTGTCACTAGGAGAAAAAAGAAGGCACCTTGTTGGGGAATAGCAGCAACAGTGGATGACCTCTGCCTACCTTCTAAGGCTCACATGAAGGCATCTCATTGATATAACCTAATTTACACACAGAATAATAATTCTAAGGAGTGTATAAAATGGAGTTTTAAGCTTTTTAGACTCCCAATTTTTAAAAAGTTTATAAAATGAAGTAGGAATGGATGACACATGCCAATAGCACACTGGAGAATTATCATTGGTTCAAAGGGCCTTGTCCCAACAATTAAATTTATACTCTTATTGCTTTTTCAGCTAAGCTGTTAGTGGAACAAGAATTATTTTG